GATCACAAACGCATGGAAATCATGTTAGCTTCTGGGATCATTCTACCCCAGCCTAGACTCCCACCTGTGAGGGACCTATATCCTTCCTGGACTTCAGAGGGCTGACAGTGGCTGAGCTCTCCATCAGAGCATCTGAGTTCATTACCTCATTTGGACCTTGCTGCCACACTGGAAAGGAGACATTTCCCCCCTGGCCCAGAAGAGCAAAACCAGCCCAAGTCCCATAAATCACCCATCTGCCCAAGAACAGGGCAGATGCCTCAACCTGGCCTCCTGCTCAATTTGGCTCCAGGCCCAAGCTGGCTGAAAACATTTTTGGTGTGACCCCACTCGGGGGCTCTGGGGGTAAATACATTTTTGGAAGGAACTCGAGAAATCCAAACCCTTCCAGATCCAAATGATGTGGAATATATTCGTGCTATGTCCAACAAAATCCTCTTTCTCCTTCACAGCTCCTGGAAGGCTTCCTGATTCCCCTCCCACAGGGGTCAGTGTCTTTCTGTTCACACCCCCCATTTGCACTTAGCACTGAGCCTTGCTCCCCTTAGTTACCTGAGGGTGTGGGCTCAGCAACATGGCACATACTCTCATACCCTAGAGTGGCAATCAGCCTTCCAGGGGTAGAGTTCAAATGTTCCTACCCCTCATTCAAAGGGACTTGATAGGAGCAGCATGGTGAATGGTAACAAACAACAGCTTGGACATCAAATGCAACTGAGTTTATCAGGGCATAGTAGCATACACCTGGAATTTCAGCACTCAGGAGACTAGTGCAGAGGTCATGAGTTTGAAACCAGTCTGGGCTATGACAGAGAGACCCTGTCTGAAAACAACAGCAGCTAATGAAATTATGCTGACACTTGCTGTGTGGCCTTTGGCACATTTCTGGTTTCTCTGGACCTGTTCTGTCTCTGTACTGCAGATACAGGTAAAAAATGCGCTTTTCACACTTTTGTTATTTTTTGTTGTTGTTGTTGTTGTTGGGCTTGATCTCAACTCCTGGGTGCTGTCCCTGAGCTCTTTTTTTTTTTTTTTTTGCTCAAGGCTGGCATTTTACCACTTTGAGCCACAGCTCCACTTCCGGATTTTGAGTGGTTGATTGGAGATAAGAGTCTCATGGGGACTTTTCTGTATGGGGTGGCTTCAAACCACGATCCTCAGATCTCAGCCTCCTGAGTAACTAGAATTAAGTCATGAGCCACACGTGGCTCATGACTGTGGCTCCACAGTCATGCTTTGGAGGAAGGATTAACAGTCAGGTCGGTTACCAGGCACTTGATAAATAGTGGATAGTGGGCTGGGAAGGTGGCTCAGTGGTAGAGCGCTTGCCTTGCATGCCTGAGGCCCTGGGTTTGATTCCTCAGCACCACATAAGCAAAAAGAAAAAAGCCAGAAGTGGCGCTGTGGCTCAAGTGATAGAGCGCTAGCCTTGAGCTGAAGAGCTGAGGGACAGCGCCCAGACCCAGAGTTCAGGCCCCACAACCGGACCCAAAAAAATAAACAAATAGTGGCTAGTATTGGGTGTGATGGTCAATGCTAGCTACCTTCTTGGCTTGCTGCCCCTAGGATTGAAGAGAGGGGAGCAGAGCTCTCTTAGAGAGATCACCTGCTCTAATTTTACAGTTGAGTAACCCAATATCTTTGTGAAAGTTGCTGGGTTCTAGAGCCTTCCACGGAGGCAGAGGCCCAGGCTATGATGAAATGGTATCCCCCGCCCCTGCACTCCTGCCTTCACTTCTTTGCTACATTTTGGACCCTTCTTTCTCCTCACTTTTTAATTTTATATATGGATGTGTGTTTGTATGTGTATTTCTAACCCCTTCCTACCAGAAATTTATGTTTGATATTAGGTGTCTACTAGCTGTTGAGAGGGGTGTGTGTGTGTGCGCGCGCGTGCACACGCATGTGTTTAATTTTTTCCCCTTTGTGTATGTTATTCTTGGAGACAAACTGCCCTGGTTTGGGCTCAGGAAGGGGGGAGGGGTGTGGCATCCCCCTTGGGACTCTGCTGTCTGCCTGCCCAACAGGGCATGGGAATCTCATGGTCATCAGGCAAAGCTCCCAAAGCACAGGACAGAGGTGCTTCTTCCCAAAGAGACAATAAACCCGTGAGTGGCAGCCTTCCCCCCCCACACACACGGCTGACCACAGCTCACCCCTCTTGGCCTCCACTCCCAGGTTAATCTCCTGCCTAGAAAAACAACTCTGAGCTACCATGGTTACATCCTTTCCTCCAAGAATGGAAACAAGACCACAAGGCAAGACACAGTGGGAATCGCTGCTAGGCAGGCCAGCCTTCAAATCCAGGGTCACCAGGGTTTGTTGCCCACTTCCCAAACTCATGGTCATGATATGGCCATCCAATGGCACAGAGGAAGAGCCCAGAGAGTTGGAGATGTCTTCTAAAATCACAGCTCCAGTCACCTGATTCTAGATCCTAACTACCCATGCTTTGTTCCTCAGGCGCTTGGCCAACACACGTCATAGACTGAGTCACTGAGTACCAACACACAGGCACACAGGCTCCTCTGTTTAAGAAGGCAGAGAGAAATGCTTAAGGAAGGTGGGAATTTCCCCTCAGAAACATTTGGAGACATTATTTATTTAGACATTACTATCTTTAAAGAGTAAGTACTCAGCAAACAAGAAAATGGGGCTGTCCATAAAGAACTAATTTCCCCAGGTCAGATTGATTTCTACCTAACAGTGGAAGGGCAATTTACTTACAATGTTTTCAAAAGAGAAAACCCCCTCTGAGGTCAAAACCCTGCTTCCTCTAGGCTGACTTTGGGGAAATTAGGAAAGATTGTCACTTCTTCAATGAATTTACTATCTACTAAAATGTATTTGCAATAACATGGACTGAGACATTTAACTGCCATCTGTCAGTAAACTGTCATGATAAAAATCAGAGATGTGTGATGTCTGGGAAGTGAACAGCACCCTTCTACCAGTTACTATTTCAGTATAACAAACAACTTTAGAGCTGATTGGCGCAAAGCCATTGTAAACATTGTCCCACAGCTACTGTGGAGGAAGAACTTCAGGAGAAGCTGAGCTGAATAGCTTTAGTTCCAAGTTATTCATGAGATAGCCATCAAGATGTCAGCTGAGGTTGTCATTATTAGAAGGTCTTCTGGGGCCTTAAGGGCCACCCTCAACATAGATCACCTACCAATTGGAAAATGGCTGTTGGCTGTTAATAGGAAGCCTCAGACTCATGCTGTATGACCTGCTCCATAGGGACGCTTGAGCATCCTACCAATATGGCTGCCAGCTTCCTAGAATGAGTGATCCAAGAGAGAGCAAAGCTGAAATAGTGAAGGTGATTCTGCTTCAGATGTCATATGTCATCATTTCCCCAAATCTTATTGGCTACACATCTGTCCTGTGTATGTGGGAGAACACACAAAGGTATGAAATCTTGCCATTACCAAGAGACAGGAATCACTGGCAGCCATCTTTGAATCTGCTACCACAGCCCCCTTAGATGGAGTACCATTGTAAACAACCTGCACAACCATGATTTCCAAGCTGAATACAGCCATCATCACAGATGTTCACTGACTCTGTGCTAGCACTGTGCTGAGCATTTGATGGTAGCATCTGCCCTCAAGCAGCTTAGGGAACCTAACAGAGATATCTAAGCCCACATAAAGACATAAAGATGGCCAAACTCAACTGTTCAAAAGACCAAAATCTGCTGGGTGCCAGTGGTTCACGCCTGTAATTCTTAGCTATTCAGAAGGCTGAGTAGCTAGGATTAGGAGAACTGGGAACTTCCTGGATAGGTGGGATTGCCTCGGGACAATCCAGGCTGTTCTGTGATGGAAGGGAAGTATGGCAATGGGTGTTCACAGCACCCCGTGTACTTTCCAACTCCCTGGGGCTCCCTGCTATCAACAGGCATTTTTCTCACCTCCTGCTTTGTCCTTTGCCTTCCCAGTGCTAAAACTTCAGAAGATGGCAGTGTGAGTGTCCCCAGAGCTCCTCCCACTGGCACAGGGGTGTGCAGTTTTTCTTTCTTTGCTCCGTTTTAGCTGACCACAGTTAAGGGTCAGGCCTTTGCTAGGACTTATTCATGGGCCATGTTGAGGCTTTGCCTGAGAAGTAGGGCCAATTATTTTGTCCTGGTTGGAAATGTTAACCAAATATTCAATAGCTCGTGGAATTTAGTGAGTACTTACTTAATAAACATGAAAGACAAAATTGTACGAGTACATTTTCACACCACTGTAAAGTCAAAAAATCCTAAATCAGACCATCACAAGTCAGGGACCATCGACAATAACCGAGCATCTCAGAAGCATCTTTTCTTGAGGGCTTATATATCTGTGTGGCTAATGGAACACAGACATGATAAATTAATTAACCATGTATTTGAATCTATTAAATTTAAATAAGTGAAACAGCTCACCGATATACATATATAAGCTGTTCGTCCTTTTTTTAGTCAGGATTGCAAGTGAAAGGAAACTCTGTCAGCCAGGATAAAGTCAGAAGGCAAAACACATGCCATGAGGCCCCCATTCACTGGCTGAAAATGGACCACAAAATTGATTTTAAGCTTCCTGGTAGCCAGTGCAAAATGTGAATGTGTTACAGTGTTCTAGGATTTGGGAAACAAATGAGAGAGAACAATTCTCAGTGGAAGCACCAGGTGGTACTTATGTAAGAGGAGGCTACAGTCCCTGGAATGCACAGAACAGCTGGGCTTCATGTGCCATTCATCCTGGCATACCACAAATCCACGTTAACAGAGTGGAATTTGATGCACAAGCCTGGGAGAAGCCTCTGTGGCTTTCGCTAAATAGCTGATGCCCACTACCTTAGTAAGAAGCTCAGAGCCCTCGAGTGCAGCGCACAGCTTCCGCTTGATCCAGGCTGTGACTTATAGCTTGGCAAAGCCAAGAAGTAGGAGAGCTGACTTCCTGGCAGAGGCAATCCTCCTGCCACCATGCTCACTAACAACCCGTCTTCCTCTCTGTTCATTCCCACAGGGGTCTGGCTGAGAACATGGCCAATGGCATTGATGAGCTCATTGGCATCCCCTTCCCCAACCACAGCAGTGAACTCCTATGCAGCCTCAATGAGCAGCGGCATGCTGGCCTACTGTGTGACGTGCTGCTTGTGGTCCAGGAACAGGAGTACCCCACCCACCGCTCCGTGCTGGCTGCCTGCAGCAAGTACTTTAAGAAGCTCTTCACAGCTGGCAGCCTAACCAGCCAGCCCTACGTCTATGAGATCGACTTCGTCCAGCCTGAGGCCCTGGCCGCCATCCTGGAGTTTGCCTATACCTCCACACTCACCATCACTGCCGCCAATGTCAAACACATCCTCAACGCTGCCAGGATGCTGGAGATCCAGTGCATTGTGAATGTATGCCTGGAGATCATAGAGCCTGGTGGTGATGGTGGTGAGGAGGATGACAAGGAAGATGATGATGATGATGAAGATGATGACGATGAGGAGGATGAAGAGGAGGAGGAGGAGGAAGAGGAGGAGGACGATGATACAGAGGACTTTGCTGACCAAGAAAACTTGCCTGACCCCCAGGACATCAATTGCCACCAAAGCCCCTCCAAAACAGACCATCTCACAGAGAAGGCCTATTCAGACACACCCAGAGACTTCTCCGATTCCTTCCCGGCCGACAGCCCTGGCCATCTGGGGGTGATCCGGGATTTCTCCATTGAATCTCTGCTGAGGGAAAACTTGTACCCCAAAGCTAACATCCCCGACAGACCTAGCTTATCTCCATTCACCCCGGACTTCTTCCCTCACCTCTGGCCAGGGGACTTTGGTGCCTTTGCCCAGTTGCCTGAGCAGTCCATGGACAATGGGCCACTGGATCTAGTCATCAAAAACCGGAAGATCAAGGAAGAGGAGAAGGAAGAGCTTCCCCCACCCCCACCCCCACCCTTCCCTAGCGATTTCTTCAAGGACATGTTCCCTGACCTGCCCGGGGGGCCTCTAGGCCCCATCAAGGCAGAGAACGACTATGGTGCCTATCTCAACTTCCTGAGTGCCACCCACCTGGGGAGTCTCTTTCCACCTTGGCCACTGGTGGAGGAGCGCAAGCTGAAGCCCAAGGCCTCTCAGCAGTGTCCCATCTGCCACAAGGTCATCATGGGGGCTGGGAAGCTGCCACGGCACATGAGAACCCACACTGGGGAGAAGCCATATATGTGTAACATCTGCGAGGTCCGCTTCACCAGGTGCGCAGACGCAGCTGAGGTGGGGGCGGGGGGGGGGGGGGAGGGCTGGGCCAGGGCCAGAGGCGTGGTGATGACAGTAGAGAGATACAGCAGTGAGCAGCTGACAGCCCCAGCAGCCCTACAATGCTGCCCTCAGGACATTATTATTATCCCACAGAACAGCTGGATCCCACGTTCCTCAGATCTACCTCCCCCTGAACGTTCCATAATAATGGTCCTGCCACACCATGTCCTCTTGGGCAGTGCTACCCCACTTCTTAGCTCCTTTTTTCCCCCCTGAGTTCACTTAGCTTCATGAGGCTGGGTGAGAATGCCTACTAGACAAGGCTTCACCACAGCACAGAATGATAGGGAGATAATATGGAGCTCATGTGAAAATCAAGTTTAAGTGTAATTCATTCATCTTCAGCAGAGGGCTTGCTCCAGCCTGAGAGTGCCAGGCCCCCTAAGAATGACCTCACAGATCCAATCCAGATCTGGGCCACTGAGTCCACCTGGAGAGCCCTGGCCTGCCTAGCTTGGCTTCTCCTTCCTGGTTTCATGTGCCTGTCACTGGGTAGACGGTTGACAGTGGGAACTCCCCAGCTGGTGGCTTCAGTGGAATAAATAGCTGAGAGTAACACACAGTGATACCACCCGTGTCCTTATCCCTGCCTTCCCTGCCCCTCCAGGGCCTTTCCCACACCAGCCTCCATGAGGTGCATGCCGGGATAGCCAACATGCAGGCCCCATCTTCACTAGGGAAGTTTTAAACTGGACCAGGCACTGCCCTCTAGACTCTGGAACATTCTCCAGAGGCCTCCTGGTTGGAGCAGCAATGCTGTTTGGTAGGGAGGACAACATTCCAGAAAAGTCCCTCCCAGTACATTCCTTATGGCCCCTTCAGCAAGCCTCAGTATCTGTGGTCTCCCTACCCCTCTTCCGGCCACCCAGCCATCTGCCATGCCCGCCTGTGGGTTCCTCCCACTCAGTGGGGATGACAGCCATCTGGGTTCCAGGCCTGTCTCCAGCTGCAGCATCTGCCATCCAGCCCCCATCCCACCTCCCTTCACTCGGTTCCCACTGGGCTCTGACCCTCCGGAACAAGATCAGATAAGCTTTGGGGGCTCCTCTCCAGAGGCCAGGGTCAGAGGGCAGGAGGGGTGGAGGAGATTTTTCTGGCCTGATTCCCATCATAGACTTCATTTCTCACTATGGGCTGTGGCTGTCAGGATGAGTGCTCCGTTCCTCCTCCCTGTTAACATTCTTCAGAACCACTGGCCCTTTCTTTCCTCTCCCCCACGGGGGAGGGAAAGGTGAGCTACCCAGCAAGAGTATCCAGCGATGCTCAGCCCTGGCCTACCTGGGCTGAGGTTTCCCTGTCACTCTCTGTAGCCAAGTCTTCCAGCAGCCATTCCACTGGGGCCTGCTGTTTGGCTGAGTCCCCCTGCCATGATGCATTATGCTTTCCCTTTTCCCCACCTAGAGGCTCTTCAGCAGGAGTGACTGAGTGAGCTGAGATACTCTGCCCACAGATGTCCTCTAAGGTACAATTCCTCCAGCTGCAGTCTGACTCCTTCCTGATTCATAGAGAAGCTCCTGTCTCTGCAGCGGTCCGTAGGCTCAGGCTCTGGGTCTTACACCTCCTGTATGTCCATTCTCAGACTGTCCATGCCCTGTGGAGTTACCACTGCTGAGGTAGAGGAGTATGAATCTTTCCAACAGAACACCTGCCTCTCCCAATGCCCTGAATGCGCCTTCATCTTGTGGGTATCCAAGAGGAGGGCCTGAGGCCTCCACCTCGGGGCTCTCTGTTCCTTGGTGTCAGGAGCCTCACTTCTGCATCAGCTCTGGGTGTCAGCTCAGCCACACCAGTTGTCCACCTTTAATCTTTTCTGTATATGAAATATCCCCAGGAAGGACCGCACAGGCTTTCTCCAGGCTATTCCCTAGATCTGCTCACTGTAGTCCTGGGCTCTGCTGATACCTGGACCCGAGTCTGTTCACACTCCCTAGCCTGGTCCACCCATGCTGGCACCACCCATGCTAGCCACAGAGAGATAGCTCCTGCTCGGAATGGTCCCTTTGAGGTCTAACTCAGGAAAGAAACAGCTTGGGACAGGATGATGACAATCCTGGCCAAGATGACCCCAGATTTCCTCTTGAGGCCATCTTCACAGTCTTTCTGAGGACCAGAGATGACAGTTGAAGAGCTCTGTGATAGGCCCTGAGGAACAGGAAGCATTTGACCAGAGAGGAAAAGAAGGGGTACTGCTGCCCTTGATGGACAGATGCCCATGCGTAGTACAACCATAGCTCTCCCTGCTGACTTACCCTGGGCCCTGTGAAGGCCTCTCTGTCTCTCTCTCTCCCTACCGTTTTTTCCCTATGGGACCCTGATCAAGAGCCATGGAGATCTGCCCCATCCCTCACTAGATCTTTCACCAGGAGCTCGCTTCTCCAGGCTACCCACAGCCTGCCTCACACAGGAAGTGGAAGTTGCAGTGAGAAGTAGCTGGCCCCAAAGACAACAAAGGTGCCACGGAGGACATACCCATGGGGAAAAGACGGACAGCTTCTATTGCCTCACAACCCACCTGGTGATGAGCCATGATGCCACCAATGTGGGCAGAATCACCTGCAAACATCCCAAGAGCTACAACTTTTAGTCTAGGCCCCCACTCTCAGTGTCAGTCAAATGATGATAGCCCCCTCTTCCTCATCAGATGCCCGCTTTACCTACAAGGCCAAGAGCTCAGCTTTCTCTTCTTTATTTTCTTCCCAGTCTGGCCCTCCCAACAGCTCTGGGAATCTTGGCCAAGATCATGTAGCAGGAAGAGTCATTTCAGGTGATCAGGTCACAAGAAGCCTGAGTGAAAGGGGCTAGGAGACTCCCTTCCAGCCTCTCTGGGGACCACAACCCAGGCCTGGGGGTCTGCTCATTCCCCGCAGTGTGATCTCTGAGCTAGGAGAAGGACTGCAAAGCAGGCTCGTGTGCACATGGCCATGGCTGGGTCTGGAGGCCAGGAGATGGCATGAGCTGGCAGATACGGGGAGGAGATAGGGTCAAAGGAAACACATTAGTGTTAGAATTGTGGAGTTTTGAAATTGGTCCTGCTGGCCATTGGTCAATCCAAAACATGACATATGCAGCTGCTCTACATACGTTTGATGCTGTGCACCATGTAGAGGATAAAAGAACACTAGATCCAGGTGCCTATAATCCTAGCTACTCAAGAGGCTGTAATCTGAGGATCACAGTTCCAAGCCAGTACAGGCAAGAAAAATCCATAGACTCATCTCCAATTAACCACCACCAAAAAAAGAAGAAAGGCTAGAAATGGAATGCTAGTGGAATAGCACTAGCCTTGAGTAAAAAAGCAAAGGAATAACACTCAAGCCCTGAGTTCAAGTCCCAGTACTAGAAAAAAAATAAAGAGGATTGGTCATAGTAGCAGGTACCACCCCCCTCCATGCCCCATGCTGGAGGAGGGCAACAGAATGTACCATGCTGAATAGCTGTCACCAAATGAATGAACACACAGAGATTGGGTACTTTGGGAGGAGCACCAGAGTGGTCATGACACCCAGGTTCAGACCCTGCTGTGTCTCTGCCTAGCTATGTGACCTGGGTGATGTCTTCTGCCATCCATGAGCCTCAGTATCCAGGTGGAATTTGAGTGGGGGAGAGGCAGGGATGATTCATAAGGTACCTGGCTCATGTAAGCACTGAGCCTGCTGCATGAGGGACAAGGGCACACACAATGGCCCTTGCCTGGGAAATGCCTAACTACAGGTAGTAGGTGTCATCACCTGCCAGGTGAGGACCTGGAGGGTCCAAGCAGGACTGCAGACAATGCAGATGGAGAGTCCCTTAGGGACTAGGCGGGCTGGGAGAACATTGCTCACAGATATGGGAGCCCTAAGAAGCAGAAGATTGGTGGGTGTGGTAGAGCTGGTCAAGTGTGTGCCAGCTTCAGGTCCTCCTCTCCCTGCCCATCCTGCTGCCCTCCTCCCCACCTTCCTGGACCCTCCAGTCCTCAGTAAACTCTCGTGGGAGGGCTGATTCCTTTCCAGTCTCCTGTCACCAACACAGTGTTCACAAGAATACCCTTCTTTCTCCTGCCTGGCCCTGGGGACTGTTTTGGAAATGAGCGCCAGGGAGACCTCTAGTGGCCACCGGGCCCCACAGCAGCTCCTGCTGTTTCAGCGGTATGCTGAGCATGGTTTGAATCTGGTCATTTTAGGAAGGACACGCCAACTTGGGCCTCAAATTGGAGACTGCAATTATAGGCAGAGACTCCACCCAAGCCTGTGGAGATGGGACTCGGAGCACCCCCCCTCCCACTTCTGGTCAGTTGGGGAAAGCTAGAGAAGGATGTTGGGAGGATTCCCTGCCACCTGCCCCCCTCCACCCAAGGCAGATTGAAAGGCTCCGTAAACTGGATTAGTGAGCTTTCAGGCCTTAAAACAGCAACCCCAGGAAGTCATTTTCCTTTCAAGACCACCAGGAGCGACACACACTCAGCTCATACAAGCCCAAACTCCCCATCAGCTCTGGAAAGTTCAGCCATGGGAGAGCCCTTGCAAAACCTACCTGATTACCCCTGCAAGCTGGTGATGCATCTGCAGCTGGAGCAGGGGCCCCCCGGACCCTCACAGGAGTCCCACCCAATACTGTGCCTTACCTGGAAATAATACTCTTAAACCCCTAAGAGCTTCATCCTGGATTAGCTGCATTCCTGTTGCACCTGGCTCTTTTGTAAACCCTGAAATTGTCTACAGACAAAAAGGGCTCTGGGTAAGAAACCACAGAGATGGAGGCTTGAAGGTGTGCCCTGCTTCTAGAGCTCTCAGATTAGTGCAGAGGACAAATGGCTCCCAACAGCCAGGGACCGGGTGAGATCAGGGGCTGTGAACAAAACACCCAGGATGAACCCAGAGGGAAGCCTGTCACCTGGAGAGAGAGAGTATGAGATGAAAGTACAGTCAGTCAGAAGTGTCTGTAGGGTCAGAGAGTGAGGAGGGTCAGAATGGTGACTTCTAGGGATATAATTCTCCAGCAAGCCTATTTCCTAGGAGGGGAGACAGTCAGACCCCGGTTTACACAAGAGGGGTTCATTACTCAGAGTTTGTATGTGAAGGAAGTTTGGTGTGTGTTGGGGGAGGGAAGGGCAGGACCTTGTACCTTCTGCATCTCCCTAATTCAGCTGCGGGACCACACCTGTTTGGGGTGGGGCAGAAGTCGAGGTGGATCTTAGATGGGGTTCCCCATCCGGAATCGGGGCTCTGGGGAGCCTTCGGTTCCTCAGGAAGAGAGAAGGGAAGGTGAGAAGCAGGCTTTTCCGCGCAGAGATTGACTCTTGGCTCTCGCCTTGCAGGCAGGACAAACTCAAGATCCACATGCGGAAGCACACGGGGGAGCGGCCCTACCTGTGCATCCACTGCAACGCCAAGTTCGTGCACAACTACGACCTCAAGAACCACATGCGCATCCACACGGGCGTGCGCCCCTACCAGTGCGAGTTCTGCTACAAGAGCTTCACGCGCTCCGACCACCTGCACCGCCACATCAAGCGCCAGAGCTGTCGCATGGCCCGGCCCCGGCGTGGTCGCAAGCCCGCCGCCTGGAGAGCCACCAGCCTGCTCTTTGGGCCCGCGGAGCCCCCACCCGACAAGGCGGCCTTTGTGATGCCCCCCGCGCTGGGCGACGTGGGCGGCCACTTGGGCGGCGCAGCCATGTGCCTCCCAGGCCCCAGCCCTGCCAAGCACTTCCTGGCAGCCCCCAAGGGTGCCCTGAGCCTGCAGGAGCTGGAGCGCCAGTTCGAGGAGACGCAGATGAAGCTGTTCGGGCGCGCGCAGATGGAGGCAGAAAGGAACGCGGGTGGCCTCCTGGCCTTGGCCTTGGCCGAGAACGTGGCCGCCGCGCGGCCCTACTTTCCGCTGCCCGACCCCTGGGCTGCAGGCCTGGCCGGCCTTCCCGGGCTGGCCGGCCTGAATCACGTGGCCTCCTTGTCTGAAGCCAACAACTAGGCTGGCCCTGGTAGACCCCAGTCCCCTGCTCCCTGCCCTCCCCCCCTCCCCAGGCCCACTCTGCACTCCCTCCAGTGGGTTTGAACTTTGTATTTTGCAAACACAAAGGGAAATGAATATATATATATATATATATAGTAGCAGCAATGACGTTTCCTAGGCCTCCCTTTTGCCAGTGTCTGAACTGGCATCTCTTCCCAAAGGGGCCTGGAGCTGGCCGGATTCTCTCCCTGCCTGGCACACGGGGGAGCTGCCACAATGGAGGGCCTCACACTGGGTGCCAAGTGTGCTATGAAGCCTTGTGGGGCTCTAGGACAGGGCTCGCTTGGCGAGTGGGCTGCTCAGATGGAGCAAGAGTAAGGCTGGGCCTGAGCACATACCTTGGTGGACCCCACAGTGTTGGGGGGAGCCCCTCCCAACACAGCTTTTTAGGGGTCTTTTGCTGATCTCCAGAAACCCTGAGGTTCCTTTGGACAGTGCTCAAATGCCACATAGAAAGACACAATCTGATTGACAAGGACACCTCTTGGAGCCAGGAGCCAGACTATTTGGAGTCTGGACCCATTTTTAATTTACTCACCCTGTGATCTTGGACAGGTCAACTCTCCGTGCCTCTGTGTCCCCCCTCCCCATTCTGTGAAAGGAGGTGGTGGTTTAGATTTCCCTCTCCCCGCTTCACCTCCACACATACTCACAACGTATCCCTCCAAAGAGGAGCCTTAGAGAGTAGTGACTTAACGTACCTCTAAAATCTCTGGGGAAACAGTTGATCTTACTGGACTTAATTTTTTTTATCACCACCACACAAATTAACAAAGATGAGAAATGTGCCAAACTAGACAAGGATGACAGAGAGACAGGCAGAGCTCCAAATACCACCTGTCCCTAGTCCCCCAAGAGCCCTAGTCAGTCTCTGCCCCATGTTCACATGCCCTCTCTGAGCTCTGTGGTCAACGTGGACTGAGGCTGCCAGTCTGAACACCTGGCAGCATCGTCCTTTCCTAGTTCTTGAAATGCAGACCTGGCCTAGTCACCCAGGGGCCTCTGGAGTCGGGAGGGTTCTCCAGTCCTCAGCTTTGCTGGTGACTGCCTACTTTGCTGTGTTTGAGCAAAGCACCACCTTCCTTTATAATCCAGCACTGAGGCTAAGGTACTTGGCTCCCTTTCTTTTGACAAAGGGGCTGGGTATGGAAGGGGTGGGGTGGGGGACTTCTGTGTTTGTTGGGCTCTGAGAATTGAGATGCCACATGATTTTCTGGTTCTATGGTTAGTGACAGATGCTGGGCAAGAAGAGAGATTCTCTGCCTGGCTTCTCCCTGATAGCTCTTCCTTTTCATTCCCCCTTTCTTCTTCCTGCTGACTTTGCTTTGGTTTCTCAGTAGCCCAGAGAGGTGTGTACATCTGCCTGGATGGTCCAGAAATGGGAGTCCTGACCTCCCAAGCTGTGGGCACAAGAGACTTGGTTCTTCCTATCGCCTTGGCTTTCTCCTGAGGAAAAAAAAAAAAAGAACAAAAACAAAAAGGCCAGAGAAGACCACAGACTCTGCCCCTCTCTTAACTCTCCAGAAGAGACCCCCTGCCTCTTCACGCCAGCCAGGAGACACCTGCCCTCAGTGGTCATCTGCCCGGACAACTGCCTCTCAGATCCCTGTCCCCAGTTCAGACTTAACTTTTGGGAACCATCAGCGAACATACTCATGTTCTCCATCAGTCAAGGGACTGGGGCCAAACCAAACATCAAATGAACAAATGAACTACGTGGAATCGTGGTGTTGGGCTTTTGTTTTTATTTTGTAAAGGTAATGACTTCTTATAAACTCAATTTTTCAGATGACTGGTTAGTTCTTTTCGTTTCTTCTTGGCTGCAGTTTGGAGCTGTACATTGTAAAATATCCAAAGATATCAAGTACTGTATGATCATGAACTTGAAGCAATTGGGCCGGTGGGAGGGAAGAGGGGAGGTGGTGTTTTGTTTGGTTTCGATTTTTTTTTTCCTGGATGTTCTGATTTCCCTGTCGGTCTATAGGAGAACTTGGGGAGTTTTTTTTCTATTTATAACTTTTTATGTGATCGCTCTATGTAATATGACACTCAGCAAAGTTTGCCTTAGTGATTCAAGGGACAATCTTCCATAACTTTGGTTGCACGCTGCATCCTACTGAGAGACTCTCAGCTAATTTTCTGGCCTATTTATTAAACAGTATTAATTGACTCGAAATGAAATGATATTGAGCATTGCACTTCTGTGAGATGTCACTACTGGAAGTTCACAGGACTGTAGAAGATTTAGACTATTGGGTGTCATATACTTTAAAATAATGTCAATGGCAGGACACTTTTACCAGGCACAAAGATTTGACCCTGATTTAATCATTTAAAGGAGAGTAGGGTTGTTTTGTTTGTTCATTCGGATTTTGTTTTTGTTTTTTGAGACAGTGTCAGCTATGTAATCCAGACTAGCCTCAAAATTTCTGTCCTCCTGGGGCTGGGAAGGTGGTTCAGTGGTAGAGCACTTGCCTTGCATGCATGAGGCCCTGGGTTCGATTCCTCAGCACCACATAAGCAAAAAGAAAAAAGCCAAAGTGACGCTGTGGCTCAAGTGATAGAGCGCTAGCCTTGAGCTGAAGAGCTGAGGGACAGCGCCCAAGCCCAGAGTTCAGGCCCCACGACCGGACCCAAAAATCAAACAAACAAAAAATTTCTGACCTCCTGCCTCAGCCTCCTGAGGCTGGAATTATAAGCATGTGCAATAACATCTAGAGTGAAGGATGGTGTTTTGAGTAAAAATGAGTTCCATTTGCCTGATGCCCTGCATTAGGTTGATTTCCATAGTCCTGTTATTTAACGTGTCTGGTGGTCTTGTGTGATTGAGGAGACTAGAGCTCAATTCTTTCTTTCCTTTTTTATCCTTCTCTCTCTTTTTTGTATGCCAGTACTGGGGCTTGAACTCAGGGTCTGAGCACTGTCTCCACTTTTTTGTGCAAGGCTAGTGCTCTACCACTTGAGCCACAGCTTTACTTCTAGCTTTTTGCTAAATTAATTGGAGATAAGAGTCTCATAGACTATCCTTCCCCAGGCTGGCTTCAAACCAGGATCCTTAGTTCTCAGCCTCCTAGGATTACATGTGTGAACCACTGGACCCTGGCTCAGAACTCAACTCATACTAATCTCTTACATTGCAGCTTTGTGAGGCTTGGTTTGATTCTAAGCTTTCAAAAGTCTGGGAGCCCGTGTGTGTGTGTGTGTGTGTGTGTGTGTCTGTGTGTCTGTGTCTGTGTGTCTGTGTGTCTGTGTGTCTGTGTGTGTCTGTGTCTGTCTGTCTGGGTCTGGGTCTGGGTCTCTGTGTGTGTGTCTGTGTCTGTGTGTCTCCGTGTCTGTGTCTCTGTGTCTGTGTCTGTGTCTGTCTGTGTGTGTCTGTGTCTGTCTATGTCTGTGTGTCTGTGTGTGTAGAGCTGTGATGTGTGAGAAGGGGTAGTCCTGAGTTGCTGGCTGATGCCCCATGGCCAGTTCTCTCTGGAGATCTCTAGTGGCCTCTAGATGGCCTTGCCACCATTTTGGGCGCTGGCCTGCTTCCTCCCACTCCCTGATGTGAAGCTGGGCTTCTTTCCTTTTATTATCTGAGCCTCTTTCAGACTACCCATGTTCTCAGGGTAAATTAACTCCTTGGCCTGCAATTTTTTTGGATAGGCAGGGGTTCACCAAGAGCCCCATTTTCATTTTTAATCCCTGTCTTGCTGTGGTAGAACCTTTATATGCATCAGCAGTTCTTAGTACAAGGAAAAGAAGAGATCTGGGGTTTGAATACAGATTCCCCCGATCTATGTGCTCTCAGACTAGTTACTTGCCCACTCTGGTCCTCACCTTCCTGACCTCTTCAAAGAACTTCTCTCACATTTTCCACTCAAATGTGTCTGCATGTGAGGCATCTGAGCATTTGAGGGCCTGTCTGGGAGACAGCCTAGGGTCGGGAGTGGAAGGGAATAGTCAGGCAGCCTTCCTGCAGGGGAAGGCTGTGTGAAACGGTCTCTGTTCTTCGGACATTAACAGCTCCTCATTCTCTTACATCACATTTATGAAGTGTCTTAACATCAACGTGTCTTGAGCCAGTGGCTGGGGGAATGGCTTGCCTTCTTCCCAGAATCTTCTAGTGATGTCAATCAAAATAGTCCTTGGCAACCCAGTAGCTTTGGGAAGTCCCAGCTCATGGCAAGCACAGCCTGGACGAGGAGAGGGGCCCTAGGCTGCAGCATCGCACAAGCTCAGGCACTTGGGGATCCTTTGCTCCTTAGTAGCATCCTCTGGAAGGTCTAGGTGATCATGGAAAAGGGGGTGGGGAGCCGTGCCCCAATCTCCAACTGCATCTGAGCTCTTCAGGTAGGTTAAATCTCCTAGCCCCAGCTAGGTGAGAATTCTGTGGAGCCCCAGCAAGTGTGGTGTGCACAGATGGGTGTCAAGTGGATTGGGGTGTTGACAACAAAGCACCTTTGGGAGGGAAGAAGGAAGACAGGAAGGAAGTCAAGGGCTCTGCCGTGTCTACAGCATTAGGTGTCAGCTACACAAGTAGGAGAATCTCAGCATAAGGCTGGCCCCAAACACAAAACTGTAAGACCCTTCAATAACCAATAAAAAAGCTGGACGTGGTGGTTTAAGCCTGTCATCCAGTAATGGAATGGTTGGGGATGCATGAAATGCTATTGGAAATATAAAGCAAAAAGGGCAAGGGACATTACTTAAGTGATAGGGTGCCCAAGGCCCTGAGTTCAAATCCCAAAACAACAGGCCCTGGGGCTTCTACAAGCATGAGAGACAATGGAAGGATTTTGCCAGCTCAAACCAATAGATTCCAGCCTCCAAGAGGGGCAGTATCAGAAGAGGGCACAGAAGGGTGCTCCTCCCTTTGAGTGCCAGGTGGGCCTGGGCTCTACTGGGGTACAAGGAGCAGAGCAGGAGGGGTCACTGCCTCAAGCACCTGGGCCAGGAGCAAGGCGAGGAGCTTTGGGACATCTTAGGCCTGCAGGGACACCAATGTCCTGAGACAGATTTGAGACAGACTTAGAGATGTTGGTGACAGTGACCCCTCCCCTTCCAATTCCAAGTCCTCCCCCCATGTCCTCCTCCAACATGCTCCTGGTATCCTCCCTACCCCTTGTGGAATGAGGCCCTGACCCTTAGGTCCTTGGTCCTTGAAGAGTCTGTGACCAGAGTAGCAGATGCAAAAGTGGCTCGCTGGCTCCCCCTGCTGACCATTTCCACCCCTGCTCCTTGCTCAGTGTGGTCAGAGACCAGAGCAGCACAATTTAAGGGGTGACAGCCTCCAAGAAGGGCTGGCTCCTGCAGGGAGCCAGCCTGCAAGTGCCTCAGTGGGCAGCCACCAACCCACATCTGTCCTCAGGAGGTGCCAAGAGGAGCAGGAAGCAGCCACCAACTTGTTTCCCTCTTTGGGGTTGGAAGGATGGAGATTGAGTCACAGGGTTTCCCTACATTGATGGAAGGAGGGAGACCAGACACCTTGCCTTTCTTTTTCTGGCCACGCTGTGGGCGGGAAGTGAGAGGACCTGGAGCTGTGGTGTCCTGCAGCTAGACCCAAAAAGGGGGTCCAGAAGGGGTCTGACAAATAAGAGCAAAACAGCTCAAATGTGTCCTAGAAATGCACTTCATCTTCAGTCAGATGTACGTGTACACACACACACACACACACACACACACACACACACACGCACATGCACACACAGGCATACACTGGTCAGACAAAATGCACTGGCTGATGTTATCTCTCCCTGTAACACCAGGAGATCCTGCAAGGCCATTTTCCATTTCCAGCATCTCCCTGCTGGAATATGTATATCACACACTCTATCTTCATGGTTCCTCTATTTATGTGTGAACTCTGACCCTGGCTGCAACAACAACAACAACAAAATAAAACTGGTAGGTTTCTGCAGTGAGGAAGGAAGACAGTGAGTCAGACCCTTTCTCTGGGTTCCTTTAAAATGAAATAGATGAAGCACCCGCCATCTGGCACCATGGGTGGCCCCTGCCGTCTCAGAAGCTGTCATCTGATTTATAACCGTAGCATTCATGTATCATTATCCCCATTCACAGCAGTTGGGGTTCCTAAACAAACACCGGCGTAGGTAGAAAAGTCATTTATAACAGCAAAATTCATCTCTCAATGGGAAAGTCAGGTTTGCAGGACCATCAAGACGAGTTGTGCAGGGTGCATACTGCACAATATCACACATATGAGAGGGAGAGCATTCACCACCTACAGATTTGTATCTTTGGTATACAATAGATCTATGCATTCTAACAATCCCCCAGCAGATGGCAGTAAAGGGTCTTGAAGGGGTGCCCGGTCTAATTTGTACCAAGACTCCAAATGGACAAAGGCAGTCCCTAAGCTGGAAACCAGGGGGCCAGGAACAATCCCAACCCCTACCATGTCTGATCTTCCCAGTGGGGAACTAATGGGTGCTGCTGCTGGGTACAGACTCCACAGCACACACAGCTCATTTACCTTTAACCATTGTTCTTCCTAGAAAATAGATCTCACACCCCACAGCTCCTCCTGTGAGTCCCTACACATGAAGCCCAGCACAGGTGTATCCAGGGGAAGAGCTGGATCCCATGCCAGCCTGGATTACACAGCAAGTTTGGTGTTCTTGCCCAGGCCTTGCGAGTGTTGGAGAAGAACTGAGACTGGGACCAGGCCCAGTAGTTGCTGGGTGAGTTCTGTGTGTGAGAGGGTGCATTTATGCACCAGGAAGTTGCCAGCACGTTACGGAAGAAATGGGAACCAGCCAGAAATCATCAACCACCTCTTCCCCTCATCCC